GTTTATTTGCATAGTTTGTTACATAAAAGTTTTTTCAATTTATGTGAGTTTAAAGAGATCTCAGTGATGCTTAAAAAAGAATAAATTTAACATGAAGACAGTGATTTTAAGTCTGGTTAGTCTGACTGTAAGTCTGATTAATTAGAGTGATTAAATTAACTAGGTGTATACCGTAAAATACGTTGATTTTTGTCTAAATTTTGATTTTTAATTTCTGTAAGATTTTCTTATTTTTTATTAACCCTCAATACCGAAATAATCCCGGGATCCCGGGATCGAATAAGTATAATCCCGAAATCCCGGGATTAGAAATAAGGACCGGGATCGAATTCCCTACTCCCAACCCAAATTTAATAACATCAACCTCCCTGCCAAATTTCAGGAATTTTTAACGAACACAGGAGTTATTAAACTTTAAAGTGGGTGAACAAAATCGTGCCTCCATACATGCAGGAAAAAAAAAGTCCAGTATTTTTTACTCGAGGAGGATTTAACGGCGGGCGTCCTAGGCCCCGCAAACCCCAACTTTACACTTTTTCTAATGACACCAAATTTCTTTCATTTATGCGATTTTAATTATGTACAAATTTACAATCGGCGGTAAAATTTGAATATAATATATGATATATTATATTCAAATTTTATTAGAAATTAAACGTTAATAGTACAGTACATACCCATATTTTTAAATAAATAAAAAATATTAACATGTATTTTTATTTTCGCTGTCTCTCTCTTTTTTAAGGGGCCCAATATTTCTTTCTGCGCCCGGGGCCTCAACCAACCTTAATCCGCCTCTGCGTGAATCTAAAAATGTAAAAATATTGGGGGTCATTTTTTGACTGATCGTCCTACATATAATTATCGCCATACCCTCTGTTACATGTAACAGCCGGTAAAGTAAAACGAAGGATAAAAGAGAAACGAGGATTTGGGCAATAAATGTGTTTTAATATTTTAAAACAAATTTATACTATAATTAAAATATCAAATTCTATTTTGTGTTCTGATTCTCAATTATCGGATCAACAATAATTTGATGGCTGATTGGTTTGATGCCACAAATAAGCAATCTGCCAAGGAGGATGTCTCCGAAAGGACTTTCTATAGGAAACTTGTCCCTATTTAAATGTTAAACACGTGAAAAAATCTGGAAAACTCCACGTGGACAGCCTTTGATCAGGAGAGAACATGCGCCAGTGTTCTGTGGTTTTATTCACTCGGTCACTGGTAGGTACAGTACCATAATAATTTGAATATATTAAAATATACTGTATTTTATTATGCATTTAGTTTATTTCTAGCGTATAATTTATTTTCTTCGTGAGCATGTTCAAGTCTATTGGAAGAGAAAATAAAGGAAAAAGGAAAAAAAGGATATGCAGTCATAAGATGAATTAAACAACTATAACTTAGAGCCGGAACAGGTTCCTATTGGTCTAATCTCCAAAAGATGATAATTATGATCACAATTAAGAAATTCGATTTAAACTTATAAAACATCTAAAATAAAATATGTTCATAGCATCAGAAGTCTTGAAGTGAATCAGTTTATTTTTACATATAACAATATTAATATTACATATTTATATTATTATCATTATTATAAATTACATCAATATATAAAATGAATTATTTATAGACATTGTAACAAATCAGATTTAGAAACAATGTAACTCAAAATAAAGAAAATGTCAAGCTTCTCCGCTTAATTCCACTTATTTGCAGTAAAGCCATCCATTTTTAATGACTTTCGTTAGTATAGATTGATAAATAAATTTTTAGTCTTATTTAACGAGTTTTTGATAAAATTTATAATGTTAGTTTTTTTAACCTTAAGTTTTANTTATATTCAAACTAATAAGCATGGATAGCTTCAGTAAAAATAAGAAAATCAATTTATTCCTAAATAAAAAATATTATTCTTATTGTAAATATCACATTATGAGACCAGCTTAATGTATAGACATTCATATACAAATACTTATATTCGCAAGGATAAAATATCATATTTATTAATAAGTTAGCTTTAATAACTAATTTATTAATAAATTTCAAACTAATTTATTAATAAATTTAAATGTAATTTGATTTAATATTTTTGACCTTATTGAAAATCAATAGAATTAGTAATTTTTAATTTCAAAGCAAAGAATTTTGTAATGGTGCATTGAGCCGGTCCCCATTCTTTATTTCTCTAAGCAATTTACTATAAACTTTAAAAAATAAAAAATTAGTAATATCGATATAATCTCGGATATTAGAAAACAATCTGCATTAAGCGATAGCCGAAGCAAAATTAAGGAAAACAGCCGATCTTGCCACAATCACATCTCTTTACGTTCATTTCAAGTTTTTCCACATTTTTAAACTTCTCTCTCTCTCTCTCTCTCTCTCTTTATAAATAAGAATTAATTCTATACAGTTTAAATTCTTGATCTCCAATAGGTTTCCATGCTCTTCCTAATATTGAAGACACTTCTTTAGCTGTAGATTCATACGATTGTGAAGCAGTCTTTAACCAAGAATAGAATTCATATATAAAATTAATAAAATTAATGTTATCAAAAACATTTTATTGCAATTTGTTCTAAGATTAGAAGTAATTAGAATAATATAAAATATAATTTATAACCGATTATTTTATAAAATCTACTACAAAATGGTTAACCTTAACAACAATATTCCAGAAGCTAAATTATTATGCCGTTAAATTCATTCAAATATCTTTACTCATTATTTTATTTTTCTCAATTCTAATTAATGCATTTAAATAATTCGACAATTGCTTATTCCATTTTATTATGCAAGAAGTATTTATTCGAATCGATTCATCCAAAGCATGTCACTGCATATAATACAGCAATTCTTACAGCAAGGATCCGTTCGAAAGTGCTACTCATCCACTCTAATATTATCAATAAGTATTGTGCATTGTTAGTTTGAACAGATATTATAAACAATTAATTGTTATATCGAATGAATTTCCTTTCGCAATCTTAAAAACTTTAAAAGTGTATGGACTGTGTAACCCTCATTCATATACGCAAGGTCGTTCTGGTTAGTTGCTCGCATCTAGTGGAGTGAAAACTGTTTTAAAAATGCTACATTAGAAATTTCTAATAAAAATATATTTTTTTGATTTTTAAAAATATAATTATGTTTTTAATAACAATCACCATTAAATTTTGACGTATCTTAATTAAAAAATAAGAAATTCATCATCCATAAATAATTTGACGTTTAAAAACAGTCATGTAATTATTTTAAAATATTTCTTTTTTTCTTAGAATAAAATTATTCTTTGTTCTTATAATTATTACATAAATGTATAAAAATCTATATAAAATTTTATTATATTTAAATTTAATAAATATATTACTTATATTAGAATTTTTAAAATATTTTTATACAAGACTTTGATGACGAATTAAAAATCCTTCTTGTAAAACACTAATTGTGTGGATTTAAATTAATTTTGCTAAGTTATGAAATCATTACAGGTAAATTACATTTGAATAGGTAATAGTCGATGATGAAGGTTTTCAACATGGATGTTTGACGTCATTCTGCTTGGTAAGTAGTCTGTTATGATAGAGAGTTCGGAACGGACGTACAATTGTATACATATAGTAGATTGCATGATATGGTTGAACAGGAAACCTGCCGGCTAGGTGAGTTTTAGTAACAAAGCGACTCACCATATGGCGTTATATATTATTTCCTTTACAATTATACCCTGGGAATGCCGATTGTTGGATGGCTGCAGAGATGAATAACATAATCCAACTCACGCTTATCATAAATCTATTCTGATATGAGGGCTTCAAAACTACACTTGTTCTTTTCTATAATACAGGTAAGAATGCACATAGGTGCACTTTTCCTTTTTTTCTTGCCATTAACCATAATTAATTAACCAGTTAACATTTATATTGGATTCGTGCGTAGCGAATTTATCGATCCTTTACCGAATTTAATGATTTACATAATTGTTTATCTGTTTTAATTAATTTGTTTGTTGAAATATCTTGATAATTATAATAAATTATTGGCGTTTAACTACGAAATTTTCATTTTATTTATTTGTTTTAGGTTATTCAGATAAGAAATTGTTTTCTGCTCAAACAAATTAAAATATCAGGTAGAATAATGTAATTTATATCAATAAAGTGTTTATTATTAATTCAATTAAATCATTTAATTCACTTGATTTTACTGATAACTATAAGAAATTAATTCGAACCAAAATTTTTTTATTAAAAATTAATTTTTATATGCTAGATGACATCGTGTATCCACTTCTTTATCATACGCCAAGAGACAAAAGAGATATTAGTGATAACACCAAAGAGAAATTGCTTATAATTAGAACATCAAATACTACATTTTATATAGAATTAATTCCTAATAATGAGCTTCTATCTGAAGACTTCGAGTTTGAAGGATTTACATATGAAAATCATTCATCTAATCCTTGTTTATTTCACGGAAAGATTTTGTCTCAAAGTGGAGGAATGGCAGCCATTTCTACATGTGAAGGGGATGGTAAAATGGTAAAAAAAAATTGTTTAATATATAAATTAATAATATTACAAAATGGTATAATCATCGTTTTTAATATGATAACAATTAGTTGAAGTAGGCTACGTCTTGATCGCAAAATTTCGGTGTTTTAAAAATTTTTGTGTTATTTTCTAGCACGGTTTATTAGTTATACCAGAAGGAAAATATACCATGCAACCTGCTTCTTCAATGCAACCACATCTCGATTTTCCAATAGAGAAAGAATCAGTTCCTCACGTACTCTTAAAGAACACTGAAGATATAGAAAAATTTTGCGCTACTGACCACATTGGTGAGAAACTTTTACAGAAAATAAAGCACATAATAAAATATTTTCTAACTTTTTTATAGCAAAATCATTCTTATATACCATCAATTAAAAAGTGAAATTTTATTTCAACTTGACTTTCTCTTTTTAAACTATTCGACGTTTCCTTTTCCGCCATATTCACGTATACAATGACAAATATCCTAACTACTCAACCCATAAAATTAAAACTTTTTATTTATCAACTATACGAATTAGGGCGGATTTTGTCTTTTATAATGAAATTTCTTTCATCCTACAGGCCTATAAACATACAGTTTCTTTTATTTGTAAGTCTGTATTCAAATTATTTATCTTCTGATAGGCCAGTATAAGTAAATCAGGATTTAAATTTATGTATAATAAACAATTCAGCTTTACAATCATAATTGAACTTTTCGAATATAAATTTAATTTCAATTTAATAAATGTAGGTGTTGCTTTATGTATTTTTTCTAATATGTTTTTCGAAATTTAACAATGTTGTATTCAAAAAACTTATATAGATGTTTCTATATATCAGTAATTAGGTTAGGAAGTATAATATTTCGGTCAATGGCAAGTTTCTGAAGAGAGGAAATTATATGGAATAATATTTCCTGTTTTGTGTGCATTCATGAAACTTTACCTTTTTTTATCATTTAATATTATTGTTAATCTCTGAAGCAATTTAAATTGTCATTATTTATTTTTCAAGCACCACCAGTTGATATAGAAGACAACGAAATTCCTAATGTACACGTAAGAAGACGAAGATCAAAACCACGATACACCATCCGGATGGCTGTTTTTGTTGACAAATCATTAATTGATCACTACTCTGATAAGAAAGTTAACGTTAAATTTGCTATATTAAATATATTAAATCAGGTGATTTTTAAGTTATTAAATTTTTAATTAAATTCATTTATTTTTAAATGTAAATAAATTTGTTGTAGGTTCAATTTATTTATAAATACGATTCTTTGAAAACTCAAATTGATATTCGTGTTGTTAAACTGGATTTGAGCGTTGATGAAAAGGTATATTTTTGAATTAGAAATTTGTATTATATATGAATTTATAACTTATTTTATAGATAAGAAGGTTTGTAAAACATTATGTAACTGATAGAGAGTTCGGAACGGACGTACAATTGTATACATATAGTAGATTGCATGATATGGTTGAACAGGAAACCTGCCGGCTAGGTGAGTTTTAGTAACAAAGCGACTCACCATATGGCGTTATATATTATTTCCTTTACAATTATACCCTGGGAATGCCGATTGTTGGATGGCTGCAGAGATGAATAACATAATCCAACTCACGCTTATCATAAATCTATTCTGATATGAGGGCTTCAAAACTACACTTGTTCTTTTCTATAATACAGGTAAGAATGCACATAGGTGCACTTTTCCTTTTTTTCTTGCCATTAACCATAATTAATTAACCAGTTAACATTTATATTGGATTCGTGCGTAGCGAATTTATCGATCCTTTACCGAATTTAATGATTTACATAATTGTTTATCTGTTTTAATTAATTTGTTTGTTGAAATATCTTGATAATTATAATAAATTATTGGCGTTTAACTACGAAATTTTCATTTTATTTATTTGTTTTAGGTTATTCAGATAAGAAATTGTTTTCTGCTCAAACAAATTAAAATATCAGGTAGAATAATGTAATTTATATCAATAAAGTGTTTATTATTAATTCAATTAAATCATTTAATTCACTTGATTTTACTGATAACTATAAGAAATTAATTCGAACCAAAATTTTTTTATTAAAAATTAATTTTTATATGCTAGATGACATCGTGTATCCACTTCTTTATCATACGCCAAGAGACAAAAGAGATATTAGTGATAACACCAAAGAGAAATTGCTTATAATTAGAACATCAAATACTACATTTTATATAGAATTAATTCCTAATAATGAGCTTCTATCTGAAGACTTCGAGTTTGAAGGATTTACATATGAAAATCATTCATCTAATCCTTGTTTATTTCACGGAAAGATTTTGTCTCAAAGTGGAGGAATGGCAGCCATTTCTACATGTGAAGGGGATGGTAAAATGGTAAAAAAAAATTGTTTAATATATAAATTAATAATATTACAAAATGGTATAATCATCGTTTTTAATATGATAACAATTAGTTGAAGTAGGCTACGTCTTGATCGCAAAATTTCGGTGTTTTAAAAATTTTTGTGTTATTTTCTAGCACGGTTTATTAGTTATACCAGAAGGAAAATATACCATGCAACCTGCTTCTTCAATGCAACCGTATCTCGATTTTCCAATAGAGAAAGAATCAGTTCCTCACGTACTCTTAAAGAACACTGAAGATATAGAAAAATTTTGCGCTACTGACCACATTGGTGAGAAACTTTTACAGAAAATAAAGCACATAATAAAATATTTTCTAACTTTTTTATAGCAAAATCATTCTTATATACCATCAATTAAAAAGTGANAAAAAAGTTTTAGGTACGTAATCTTTTATATATTGATTTATGTTGTTATAAATTATCGCCATTACTAATTTTTCTTAAACATCATCTTTTCATTATTCGGTTCTAATTTTCCATCTTTAAACAAGAAATTTAATATAAATTTAATGAAAAAACGTGAATTAAACTCAGATATGAAAAATATTCGTAAGTTTTTTAAATGAAAGTTTTATTTTAAGAATACACTGGCCGTCAAAAGTTAAGCACGGATTACAAAAACGACAATATTTTCAAAGCCATTTAAATTTATAAAACTTTTATAGGGTTATGCATGCATACTTTAGGTATACACTGCATACATTTGGGAAAAATGAGTGAATGTTAACAGAAAAAATAAAAGATGAATACAAGTAACAATAAATGTGAATACAAAAAAGAAGTTTGAATACAAATGTTGTGGTCAATATGCAATGTGACCTCTTTTAGCGTTTTTTCACCAGCCTCCAATCTCTCCATCTTTCTAAATTCTGTAAACGTCTTCTTTGGGACACGATTACGTACTGTTTGCATTGTAACAATTCTGTTTTCTGTTCTTTATTGCCTGTAGTAACCTTTCAGCAAAAACAGCACTCTGGGAAGACGCCAGTCTTTTCCCAGTGTTCTTCATTTGCATATTTGTATACATTTTGCATAATTTTAATGGGTAAATGTTAGTTCTCATACATATGCACTAATTTTCATTAAACTTTCGTGCTATTTAAGCTTTTATTTACTTCTTGTGATCTGTGCTTAACTTTTGAGAGCAGTGGATACGAAGGATTGTCGAGTCGATGTCGACTCACTGTGACTCTAAAACTATTCTGAACTGTGTTAACACTTTAATGAAATAGCTGATCGTTGACAACATTGTGTCCATAGCAGTTGTTATTGTATCTTTCATCTTTTGTACTGACTTTTGACCTTGCCAAATTTGATGCCTTTTTCTTGCTTCCTTTCCTCGAATGGCGTGTCCGAAATATAAAACTCAAAGTCTTATCATTTAATCTTTTAAAAAAAAAGCTTATGTTTGATCTCCTTTGTTTGTCTTAGAGAAATCATGGATTCTTTGTCTATATAATTCAGAGGAATCAATTTCCTCTCTGTATTGCTTCTATACAATCTATTTCCTTGTAAATATCATACTTTGAACAAGTCGAATCTTTTAATTAAGATGCCTCAATGTCCTTTTCTTACTAAATTATAAATTTTTGTCTATAAACAAGCATTCACTATTATCAGGACTTATTATACTGGCTTAACAGACAATACAGAGTTTCACAGAAAACAATTTTTTATTTAATATTTAATATACAGGTATATTAAATATTAAAAAATTGATTTATAGACAAAAATTTATAATTTAAGTCGAATCTTTATATATAAAGATACACTGTGTATACTTCAACATCTAAATGCTTAATCTATTCTAAGTCTTTTATAGTCAGTCATTCTGCAAGAGTGATTTAGTCGTTGATTTCATGTCCGTCATTTCTGTCTGAGGTTTTGAAATTATCTATTAATTTAAATTTATTCTTCCTTAACATTGAAATTATTAATTTATTAGTTTTTTTTTTACCAGTTATAACAACTGATAAAATAAATATTTTGATTTTTGTCTTTTACGATGCAAGTCCAATTTCAGATTATGTTCTTTGATTTAATAAACAGAAATTTTAGATTGTCACTTTCACTTAACATTACAAAAATCAGTCAATAATCAGCTTTAAATCTTCCGCCAATTTTTACACTTCCATTTCACCATACGATTTTGAATCTCTAATGATGTAGGATTCAAGACAACCTTTGATTTATAAAACTATTTTATAATAATTAATTTGGAAAATATTCTGTAAGTTTGTTATTTAAAATTATTTACGTGTATAAAACTGACAGTTGTAATAAATTTTATCTTATATCACGATTTATAATTTTATATCATAGTTATAACAGTAATAACGTGAGATTATTCAAAGTAAATATTACATTTATTCAAGAATAAATCCTTATTCATGAATTGAAAAATATTTTTAAAAGTGATAAAATAATAATGACTAACATAATTCATGACAATTTAAAGAAATTTCTTTATTATTATTATTTTTTTTTAATTTAATTTTTTTATACACGAAATTCTTAAAATTTCCTTACCATTCATAAATTTACAATAACGTTAAATGAATATAAAATTAAATTTACTTTATTAATATGAATTATCATGACTATCAGACTTAATAAAAAGTATCTACATAATTATCTACATATATTAGGATAATTTTAATTATCGTAATATAAATATATTAAGATAATTAAAATTAATGATAAATACGTTTTATAAAATGAATATATTTATTTTTCCAAATAGGANAAGTGATTGTCATCATAGCTAATAAGAATGACATTCAACAGTAGTGGCCACTTTTTATACCCAGAACTTGGGTACAGCATATATACCTTTTCAAAGGAAACTGCTTTTTCATTGCTTGCAGTGTCAAAACTGCCATATTGGCAGGTTGTTACTAATTTTTACAAAAATGTCTTCCATATCCAGAAATGTCACCATACCAGATTTGGTTGTGTTTAAACTGCTAAGTCTCTCCATAGACAGCACTGAATAGAAATATTTTAATTTCTATCACCAAATATATTAAGATAATTAAAATTAATGATAAATACGTTTTATAAAATGAATATATTTATTTTTTCCAATAGGATTGGCTTGGGTTAACGGAATGTGCCGAGATAGATACAGTTGTACAATATGTGAAGCTCGCAGTTTCGAAGCTGCTTATGTCATGTCACATGAAATGGGTCATTGGTAAATGTATATGTATAAATATATAATCATAATGTAATGTTTGTACATAATATACATTCTATCTTCAATGTTTATTATATAGATTTTTCTGATATACAGTATTTTAAAACTTTTATGCTTAATATTTTATAGTTTATCGATGATGCACGATGGAAGTAATAATTCTTGCAATCCAGACAAATTTATAATGTCGCCAAAAACTGGACCTGGAAAAACTAATTGGTCACCTTGTAGTAATAGATATCTAGAAGAATTCCTCAGGTAATTGTATAATAAAATTATCCCGTGACTCAAAATATATAGATAATATAAATATAAAACTTTTCAGGATGCCTCAGTCCAGTTGTTTATTGGATGATAAGAATGCCCGTGATTTAACTTCAGAAATGGATCCTCGATTACCTGGACAGAAATATCCACCTAGAATTCAATGTGAATACGCTCTTGGAAAAGGCTATAAAATTTATAATAATTCTAAACCTCCTTATAATGCAAGTATTAGCTTTATAAATTATTCAATTTATAAATACAGTATTTTCTCGTTAAAAAATTTATAAATTTTATAACTTTTTAGAACATTTGTCGAGAACTTTGGTGTGTTCAAGGTTATTGGGCAACACCCGCTCACCCTGCTTTGGAAGGTAGCAGTTGTGGACAAGACAAGGTAATTTAAAGTACAGTATTTCTAAAAGAAAAATATACTGCAATTTTTAACTCATCAGATTCGGGATATTGGAATTTTCCTGTAAAATTAATTGGCTAAGGTACTATTTGACTGAAATATATTCGTTTACTGTATGTTATAATACAATACATATATAATTACTATTTTACACTTCATTATTATTATAATTGTCATTATTTTACAGATATGTTTACAAGGAGATTGTATTAGGAAATTGAAATCTATACCAAAAAGACCCAGTTCAACAGAAAGAAGTCCTGTACATAGTAAAGTTGCAAATAATAATGAAAATCAGTCTCCTACATTTCTAGATAAAATTAAAGGTTTTGTGAGAAACGTTTTCGACAAATATTTTTCTGGAAAGTGAAAGTATTTTAGAAAAATAAAGTTTTAAGTCTAGCCTGAAAGTCATAAACGCACAGTAGAATCTTATATATAATCTCACAAAAATTGCAAAGTTTAAATGTATTACTTTAAGAATAAAAATGTTGAAATTTAATTTAACAACTTTGAGTAATTATATTTTAATAAAGAAAAGCCTAAGTTGGACATTAGCGGTTTCATAAAACTTTGTCTAACTTCAAGAGTATTCCTAGTGGAATAGGAAAACAATAAACAAAATATAAGCCAATTTATATACGTAGTTTTATTTAATTATTAATGCCATTCTTAATATAAACTTTTAAAACACTTCATCTCGCTTTTCATACCAGTCGAATAGTGTAAATAGCCGGTAAAAGTCACTATAGATGTTCTCGGTTCCAATTAAGATTTCAGTTTAGAAGGATATCAACTCAAAGAATTTTACTGTGTTTATAATATTTAAATTGTTATAAGAATATAATTACGCAAAAATCATTTATTAGGAATATTACAATATACAAAATAATGTAATTACACAAAGATAAATAATCATTAATAAATATTCATTAATCACAAATATATAGTATTGTGAACTAGCATCAAAACATTTCATTAAGTTCTTTCTTGAAACTTTAGTGTAATATTTTTTGAGATCGTAACATGCTCCATTATAAATCCGAGCAACAAAGCAATGGCCTGATTATATTTTCGATTAAATTTAACATAGGCCCTATATCCAAACTGTATAATAAATATAACAAACAATCCGAATTTGATATGTGGTGATATTATATTCAAACTAATAAGCATGGATAGCTTCAGTAAAAATAAGAAAATCAATTTATTCCTAAATAAAAAATATTATTCTTATTGTAAATATCACATTATGAGACCAGCTTAATGTATAGACATTCATATACAAATACTTATATTCGCAAGGATAAAATATCATATTTATTAATAAGTTAGCTTTAATAACTAATTTATTAATAAATTTCAAACTAATTTATTAATAAATTTAAATGTAATTTGATTTAATATTTTTGACCTTATTGAAAATCAATAGAATTAGTAATTTTTAATTTCAAAGCAAAGAATTTTGTAATGGTGCATTGAGCCGGTCCCCATTCTTTATTTCTCTAAGCAATTTACTATAAACTTTAAAAAATAAAAAATTAGTAATATCGATATAATCTCGGATATTAGAAAACAATCTGCATTAAGCGATAGCCGAAGCAAAATTAAGGAAAACAGCCGATCTTGCCACAATCACATCTCTTTACGTTCATTTCAAGTTTTTCCACATTTTTAAACTTCTCTCTCTCTCTCTCTCTCTCTCTCTCTCTCTCTCTCTTTATAAATAAGAATTAATTCTATACAGTTTAAATTCTTGATCTCCAATAGGTTTCCATGCTCTTCCTAATATTGAAGACACTTCTTTAGCTGTAGATTCATACGATTGTGAAGCAGTCTTTAACCAAGAATAGAATTCATCAGTCCAATCGGGATTTCTTGGCCAATCGCATCTCTTAATTATGGCATTTCTTCTTACGATAAAAGTCTCTATATTCTTACAGTAGAAAGCCATTAATAATACTGTCGCCGTCGATACACGTTCTCTGATCACTAAAGTCTTTACATTTGGACAATTGCGACATAGTAATACCTAAATACAGTATAATATTTTATATTAGTAAGTTTTAAATTCATTAAAAATTACAAATGAATATGAATGTTCTTACCAGAGGTGAATCACCTCTTTCTTGGAACGGTTTTGGCATATAAAATCTTGGTATCCCAATGAAGGCATAACATTCCAAATCATTTGTATACATAGTTGCTGCTGTTAATGCGCTTTGTACTGTAATTCTATTATATGGTGTTTTATAAATTATAGATCTTATTGGAGCGCCTTCTTGCCACATTACCTATAATTAGAAAGATAATTGTACGTTCAAGTAATTTTTCAAACTATTAATAGCGTTGAGTATAAAGGAAGATATATTTCTATTGTGTGGACAAAATTATCTTGTCCTTGCTTACGACATCTGAAAAAATCTGGGCACAATTCAGCCAAAAATAACAATTTTAGATATTAAAAAATACTTCCTGCTATTAAGTTTAGCCCTTTTTTTAATGCTGAAAAAGCAGTTTAACCTATTTTAATAATCTTCGATATTTAAATCTGATTTCAAACATCAAAATGCAATATTGCAATGAGCATTTTTTATTAGCTTAGTTATTACTATAAATTATAATTCTATACACAAATAATAGAGATCTTAAAAAGAAAAATTAAAAAATAACTAAAGTACTTTTTTTGAAAATTATTAAAATGCAAAATTGATTTTTAACTTTAAGGTTTGATTATTTAGCTTGAAATTTTCAATCCTCACCTCTGCTTTGACTTTTCCATCGATAACGAGATGAACACGAAGGTTTGGTGAAATTTTTCGACATTCCTTCCACGTCTTTCTCGATACGGGTGTTGCAACATCAGTATGCTTCACTTGAAGAATATACAGATCAACTAACTTCGTGTGACCCAGCAAAATCACAATGTCATCACTCAGATGTTGAGGAGAAACAATGAGAGTCTTCAAATTTAAAAATACTCCAACGTGCATGAATGCGTAAGGAACTTTTGTACAATTTACAATTCGTAGAGTTCTTAAAGTTTCTGAGCAATTTTGCACAACATCATCTAACAGAAACATTGCTTCAGGCGTATCTAACAATAAATCTTGAAGAGATAAATATCTTAAACCGATTAGATTCTTCATTAAACGTTTTAACGCTTGAAGCAATCTTCCTCCAGTTCCAAAAACTTCTTCTGAAGAATTAGAAGCCGAATCGCAAGCAAATCGAAAATGTAAGTTTTTAACCAAATACATCGGATTTTCGTCAAAGAATTCGCAAAAATATGTAACAATTGACATAAATTCGTACAAATTAAAAAAATTTGGAATCGGTTTGAAAATAAGTGTGCGGATAGCACGACCAACTCTATGTAAACAAATTTGAGTTCTTTGATGATCCAAGATATATTGATAACCAAGATAATAATTAAATTTACGTCTTGTTAGAGTTCTATCATCCAAAACAAAAGTCCTCCACACATTTGGAGAAGAAAATATTCTAAACCAGTTAAGGCACACTTGAGATGCTGTGTGCCTCTGAGAGATGCTCAGATATGAAAATATATCTTCTAATAAGATATCAGGAAGATATTCCCAATAAACGGGTTTAGGGGGTTCTTTTTTCTTTCTTTCTTTAGTTTTTTTCTTCTTGGTTTCTTTATCTGTTTTAATTTCATTGACTGCAGTAGTTGCACTGGGAGTTGTAGTAGTAGTAAGAAATCTTCTTCTACTAGGAAGTGATATACGAGGATAAGTGGTTAAGGATTTGCTAGGATAATACTTTGAGGAATAGTAAGTCATGGAATATAATTGCAGATAACACGAATCATTTAATTATCCTGAAATAAAAATATACATCACTATTATTACACTTCAGTATTGTTAGACATTCTATTTATAAAATTTGTACAGGTAGAAAATTAAGGAGATTGCATTGGCATTCTAATAATTACCCATTCGTTATGTTATATTTATTATAAAATTATCTTGACATAAAAAATATTTCATTGTTATTTTTTCTACGGTGATTACTTCAAGATAATGTATAATATTATAAAGAGACTTAATAATAATATGGAAAAGAACGTTAATTAAAATCGGAAAGGTAAATTATTCAAATTATACGAAACTATTCTAGGAAGTGAAGAATTCATTCTGAAGAATTCCTTTGTTCTTTGATAAAACAGGAAACGATGAATAAATTTTTTTGGGTTATACAAAGTCAATCTTGGCATTGTAGTCAACATGAGCAGATGCTGTCTACAGATTTCAATGTAGTTGTTCGAATCAAAGTAATCTTTCTTAATTTCCTCCTAAATACTAATCATCCAACCTTCTATTAGAATAAATATATACCAAACATTGTAGAAAAAAGTAATAGCGAATATATTATTTTAACAATCTGACCATTTAGAAACACTTCAAAATAATTAAAATTATATTTATAGAATATTTTCTTAAAATTATAAAAAATTTCTTCCGTATTTAAGTCAAGATAAACGATTTTTAAAAAGTCAGTTTCGGTTAATTACGCATTGGAAATGAAGAGGAAACGGTCCACTTGCCAAACTTCTAAGAATAAATGAGCATAGTCCTATCTATTCGAATCGAATCCGCTTTGTTGTCGTCGAAGTCTCGACTCAAAAAAACTGAACAACATTTTTATAAAGGGTCAGCGAACCGACACTCGACTCGCAAACAAACAGTAATTTCGAAATTCATAAGTCAGTCATGGAATTTTGGCTTTATTACAAAAAATCTCGCTGCGCTTTTTAAACATATAAATATATTTATGATTATATATCCAAACAGATGAAATCAACTGTACAGTATCGTATATCTGTCTCTAGCATTTAACGCTTCACAAGTGGAAACTTAATTAAACATCTTAACTATTGCTTTCAAAATTAAATTATTTTATCCCTTCTTAATATTTTAAATAAATTACTTAATTATAATAATTATTAAGTACGCAAATATATAGTGTTAAGTTTAAGAGTAAGCTAATTTATTAAAAGTATAAATCGTAGAGTAATGATAATTGAATTCGCGTTTTTTTTTATTTGTTTACATCTAGAAATGTTTACAACTATATTTATAAGATTAAAGTAAATATTCGTTACTATTGCAGACAGCGATAAGTAAGATATTTTAAGCTATCAGCCCGTACAACGGACAATCTTCTTGACCTACAAAATAAATGCGTACTTACGCTATTATATTATAACGTTTTTCTTAAAGGTATTTTCGATTTTTTTCGAAGGTATTAATTAATAATTATAATATACTTGCCTCGTTTTTTGTACAAGTGAGAGTTTCCGTTATCTTTTCTGCTGAATGCTATACTTAGCTCAGAAACGTGTACTTGTTTTGTGCGCGATGTTAGCGTCTAGAATCACATCTGTAGCGCCCTCCCGCTTTGAATTTACTTCCTACCCCTTCCTAAGTGTCATAAGAGTTTTATAATATATACACTATTTAAATAAGTTTATATATTTTCTACTAAATTAAAAAAATATAATTAATTTTAGTCTGTAACAAACAGGAAGTTGGTATTTTTTTTTAATAAAAGTATAAGTTTACTCTTGTTCATATCTATATTAAAATAGTGAAATTAAGCGTTTTTTTAAGATTAAAACTTAATATTAAAGTAAATTTTCATTCTAAATGTTTAAAATTTCAGTTAAATTTATTTTATTACAAAGAAATCTAATTAAATTTTACACAATAATTTCATTATGTAGAATTTCAAATGGAAACTTCAAATGAAGCATAAAAGTAATGTTGC